CTTTTCTTTCTTTTTAAGTTTTTTAAATTTTTATTTTATTATTAAGGCAAGGCTCTGTAATTTACAAAGTTATTATAATAGAGATTTAGTCAAAAATATTTTTCTGTCATGGATATGTGACTAAGTACAGACGGAAGTAAGAAGGCTGTTGACAATATGGCAGACTTGACGACCATGATTTAGTACACTTAGATTGACAAGAAAAAAGAAAATATGTCGAATCATTTTTGAAATATGGACTTACTGCTAATAATCATGAAAAAAGCTCTTTGTTAAATCTGTAATGAAGTTTTGGCTATGGAGAACATGAAATCAGAAACTAAAAAGGCATCTTCATATTAAGAAGATAACTTATTAGGGCTGGAGCAATAGTACAGGTAGGGTATTTGCCGACCAGGCCGGCCGACCAGGTTCTATTCCCAGCATCCCATATGGTCCCCGAGCATTACCAGGAGTACTTCCTGAGTGCAAAGCCAGGAGTAACCCCTGAGCATTGCTGGGTGTGATCCAAAAAGTCAAAAAAAAAAAAAAGATAACTTCTTGCACTGAACTGCAATAAGCCAAAGGAATATTTTTTGAAAGAGTTAAATTTCGAAGAAAAACAGTGATTTGAGAAATTTGTTACTGTCAATGAGATGTATTTACTTGCATCTTATGAAACTTCTTAACAGCAAAAAGTTGTGACAGGAATTCTTGTGTTACCTGCTGCTAGTAAAATGTCAAAAATATAGGCCAGAGAGATAATATCGCAAGTAATGCACTTATCTGCATGCCTCCGACTGGGGTTCAATCTGCAAATCATATGTGGTGCAATGATCCCCTCTAGGAATGATCCCTGAGCACAGAACTAGGAGTAATTAACCCCTGAGCATTGCTGGTATGGGCCAAAACCCCAAATAAATAAAATGTGAAAAATAGTTGATAGGGCAAAGTATGGACAAGAAATGTGTAAAATTACAATACTGTTTACAAAAGAATTTAGGAAATTAGCAATGATCTATTCTGTTAGCTTATTGCTGGGTCTCAGAGCAGCCCAGGGTGTATAAGTCAGAAAAAAAAATGGATTTTTCTTTGTTTTTGCAGGTCAACCCTGGCAGAATGCAGGGGCTACTCCTGGCTCTGTGCTCAGGAATTGAACTTGGATCTTCTGCATGTAAAGCATGCGCTTACCCACTGAGCTATCACTTTGGCTCACTTCTACCTTGGCAAAATGTTACTTTCTGTAACATCTATTTATAAAGAATATATGAGGAATTGCAGTCTTGTTGCCCTTGGGAAGCATAGAGGAAGATATATAAATTAAGGTTGACAAATTTTTCACAAATGAAGGTTCACTGCAGAAAAATTGCATTGGAATCTATACAGACAGTGTTGGAGCAGTGATAGGCAAGAATGTGAGACTCATAATGAAAATTAACACTGCTGGCACTGCACAGTTCATTTTCATTCACTGCAGAATCCATTAGGAGATAGTACCCAGAGTTAAAAAAAAAAAACCAAGTTTTAGGATGTGCTTTACAGTATTATCAAAATAATTAACTTCTTCAAAAGCGACGCCCTTAACAGCTGTTGGTTTTCAAAGCTTTGTAAAAACACCTGATTACAAAGTTTATTATTGCATACAGACCTAAGGTGGTTCTCAAGAGGGCAAGTTTAAACTGACATTTGAAATTGAAGTTGTCTTATTCTGAGTAGCAATCTGATTTTGTTCATTATTTTTCAAAATGACTTACTTATGACCTTCGAAACTGTATTGTCAGATATTTTTGAAAAAAAAATAGTTAAATATGATGCTTCAGAAAAAAATGTGCCATTTATTGTAACATTTGTTTATATTAAAAGATAAAATTGTAAAACTTGTTAAAAGATACAATTGAGGGAGCTTTAAAGAAAATACAATGGGAAAGGTGCTTGCCTTGTAGACTCAGGTTCTATCCCACCCAATATAGTCCCCAGAGATCTGCCAGAAGTGATCCCTCACACAGAGCCAGAAGTAAGCCCTGAGTACCACCGGGTGTGGGCCCAGAATGAAAACCAAACAAAATAAAAAGCTAAAATAGAAATTTTTACATAAAAAGTTACATGGAAGAAAAGGGTGGAAATTGGCACAGCTACAGATGATTTTATAACTGCGAAAAAAACCTTCCCAGAGATTTAGCTATAAGAGTTATAAAAGATCATCTGAAGTACCGAAGACAGTTTCAGAAATATTGATTCAAATTTTGGTTCTAAAAAGCTACGGTGGGTTCATAAACCATACTCAATTTAAATTAAAAACGTCAGCCATCTGCCATTAAAATTTCAAAAAGAATGTGCTGAGTGTGACACAGTTTTAAAACCTGAATTTCCAAAAAGAGTCAGTGAATGAATGTTGGCTTGGAAGTGGGGCAGATTTACCAAGAATTACTGAAATGACCCTAAGCATTCTTAGTCGGTTTTTACCACATATAATATGAAGCCGTGTTTTCAGTATTTATAACTATAAAATCAAAATACCGATCAAAGAGATAGTACAGGGGTAAGGTGCTTTCCTTGCAAGCAGTCATCCCAGGTTTGTTCCTTAGTACTGTCTATGTGTCCCTCCCCACCCTCACCCAGCTCCACCAGCTCAGGAATAACCCCTGAGCACAGAACCAGGAGTAAGCCATGAGCACTACTTGGTGTGGGCCCCAAGACCCCCAAAATAAATAAAAACAAATCAATACAACCTCCCCAAACACTAAAAAGTTGCTCTACATCCTATAGCATCAATTATTTGTCTAAAGTTTAATTCTTTTTGTTTTTTGCTTTTTTGGGGGGGGGTCACACCCGGCGATACACAGGGGTTACTCCTGGCTCTGCATTCAGGAATTACTCCTGGAGGTGTTCAGGGGACCATATGGGATGCTGGGAATTGAACCTGGGTCGGCCACATGCAAGGCAAACGCCCTTCCCATTGTACTATTACTCCAGACCCCATAAAGTTTAATTCTTGATATAAAAAAGAAGCAAATTCATATAGTGTGCAAATTTGCTTTCATCTTTAATAAATGGAAATATTGCATGTAAAATAAAGAATTGTTTAAAAATATCTTACAGGTTTGATCTGTATACCTATTTTATATACCGATATAGCCGAAACTGTATAAAAATTTCTCAGGTGAAAAGGCATTGCAAGTGTAAAAAGTTTGAGACCCGTTTTAAGTTACATAACATGCATTAACCCATTAACTAGCAGTAAACCACTAGAAACTAAACCCGCAAACTCACTTTCAGTAACAATGCTGGAGCTGAAGACGAATGTGGGAATCATCACCAAATGAGTCCCATCTGAGACAGGAAGGAGATGATGCAAGAGAGAGAATAGAAAGTAGGGAAAAAGAATCTTAAGGAAGTGCATATTAGAGAAGTACGTAGAGAACAAGGCATTTAAGAGAGAAAATAGGAGCACCAAGTGTGTATCACTGAAGTCCAGGCTGGGGAATTCCTATTCAAATTCCTGTTCAATACCAGAGAAGTTCAGTAAAGCAAGAAACTGGCCAGGGTCAAATCCCAGATAAAGCCTCAGTGCAGGAGAGGCAACAAGATGGTGAACACAGCAGGAATAAACCTTACACGTAAGGAGAGGAGTGATGTTTGGAAGACAATGAGGGTGGGTAGGGGCAGGACAAGATTGTAGATGTGCAGAGTGAATCACGGCTTTAATCTCCCATATTTCTCTATAAAGCAGAAGGCGAAGACACTTCTGCAACTGGTGGGGGTTGGGGTTTTATATCTTTAGGAAAGGGGATGCCGAAATAAAAGAGTGTGATCAAAAGCTACTGGGGTTCATGGAGGAGGCGCCCGTAGGCTCCCCACATCACACCTGGCAGTACCTGCACCCACAGACTTTGCCTTTCTTTCCCTGATCCATGCCAAGGTCAAACTCTCTTGCCACCTGAGCCATTCTGTCCTTCTCACTCAATCACATCATTCTCACAGCTCTCTCTCATACACAGGTCACATCAGCGTGGTACGGAAAGGAGAGAAACTGCTCAAACCCAGGACCAGTGGGTCCAAGGAACTGACCAGGCGAGCAAGATGGCTGAGGCGAGAGCAAAGTAGGTTTATGAAGGGAGAGTGACAACAGAAAAGTTGTCTCTTCTTCTGTGGTATTTCTCTATTTTATGTCAAATTCACTCCAATCAGAACTTCCGACCCAATACTGGATACAAACTGCTCTCCTGAAAGATTTACTGAGTTCCAAAATAGATTGTCAGTGCTCTCTTACTTGAAATATTACTATCTGTCGCAACTGATTTGGAAACAATTTTTGCTTGGTGGTCAAACACCCTGGGATCCTTCTGTTGCTCACTTCTTGGGGGCCTCCCATGCTGATTCTTCTCCCTTTTACTGGCTTGCATTGGAGTATTCCAGTGCTCAGTCTTCCTCCTCTCCTCTACTGACTTCTGATTTTATAGCTACCCATTCTTAGTGCTTCCTGGCTAGCCGAACTTGGCTGTCAGCAGTTACCTCGCAGAGCCAGAGCCGTTAGCATATACCTGTGCTTGACACTTCTTCTCTTTTAAAAACAAACAGCAATCCAGATAAGGCCTGTGGGCGGCTCCATGTAGTGCTCTTCTACTATGAGAAATACCCTAGGCTCCATAAGTTCTCTCCTACAAAGATCACTGGCAGGCTCACACATGCATTATTTTCCTCTTTTAATTATTTCAAAGTATTATGGTATTGGGGGTAAAAAATTAATACAAATATACAAGGCCTTTCTCTATATCATAATTCTCCTTTAGTGCCTATAGCTAGTCATCAAAGTCCAAAAGTCAAAGTCACATGTCCTTTGAAATGAGGCAATTAATAAGTGTAATAGTTAACAAGTCATTAAGGTGCGAGATACTTCAGGAGCATGCACTAAGATGTCACCACCTTTATGAGTTTTCTTCGGATGCATGTATTGCTGCCTTTATGATCTATATTACCATACCCAAACTGCTAAGCTGAAGCACTCCGGTTTTGGTACCTACCTTATACTTAGAAGTGTCCCAGTTGTGGACAATGCGTGCCGGGATGAGAAAAGTGTCGTCCACGTGGCAACTGCTGCAGTAGTACCACCCACTGTAATTGCACACCTTGGCTTTCCCGTTGGAAAGGCCTATGGATCGCGGGCATCCTAGTCGAGCAAAGGAAAGATACTATGATTATTGTCTTTTCAATGTGACAGACCCAGGCTGCACCACCCTCACCTTAAATAAATGCTCATAATGGAAGAGAACGGCAGAGAATATGGGTGGGGATGTGCCGCCTTTACAGCTTCAAAGCTTCTATCCTCATCCACACTCTCCTTCCTGGGGGATAACTGCAACTGTTACCTCACCAGTCCCTTCTTTCTAATCTCCTTGATTCTACTTTTGTGCTTCTCACTGACAGGGATCACTGTCTACTACCTCAGCTTTATTTCCTCCTCCCATCCTCTAAAACTTTCCACTTAACAAAACGTTGTTTTTTTTTTCCCCATACAGTAAGATCTTATTTAATCTGCATATCTTTTTTGAGGAAGATCCTATCCATTCTATTTTACAGATGAATACACTAAAGTTTTGTTAGGTTAATATTTTGTTTGGCAACACCCAGTCAATAAAGGTTGGCATTTGATTTGGCTCAGTTGCAAAAATGATCCTAATACTGCTATGCGCTCTTCTTTTAACCTGCAAAATCAATGAAAGGAATTTGGCCTTTAATTGTCCCCAACTTGCATTTCAGACAATCTGCTCCCACAGTTTTTCTAACAGCAACCTCCTTATTCTCTCTGGTCACAAATAAACAAGATAGTCACATTCCACTCCCCCCCGCCCGCCCCATCCCCCCCACACACTCTCCCTATATCTTAGCACATCTTATTTCTCCATAGGCAACAAACACCCTCTTCTCTGTTGTCAACTTTGCCAAATCACACCCATTACTTAAGACCACTGGTTGTCGCTAAGAGGTTGCTAAGGTTCTTCTCTTTCTGCAAAGTTTATGATTCTGTGAGCACTGTCTCTAATATATCAGCGGTCCTAGCAATAACAATGGACCTGCCACAAAGGAGACATTACTTTTGCTTTAGTTTAGAAGAACTACCTTCTACCAATGAGCTAGAGTGATAGCATAGTGGGTAAGGTGTTTGCCTTGCACACAGCCAACCCGGTCGGCCCAAGTTCTATTCCTCCGCCCCTCTTGGAGAGCCAGGCAAGCTACCGAGAGTATCTTGCCCACAGGGCAAAGCCTGGCAAGCTACCTGTGACATATTCAATATGCCTGACACAGTAACAACAAGTCTCACAATAGAAACATTACTGGGCCTGCTCGAGAAAATCGATGAACAATGGGAGGACAGTGCTACCTTCTACTGATAAGTCTAAAAATTCTGTCATCATCAAACCAAAATAGCGAAATCCTGGTAGCATGAATTATCATAATTATACCAACAGCATCACTATTCTGACACTTCTGATGGACAGCTTTTATGTTAGAAATTCTGGCATGTGGTACATTTCATGGTTTGGTGCCAAGAAGTATATATCAATCAAATCTCACAGTAAGCCTATTATCTTATATGAGTACAAAATGAATTCATTTCTACAGTAAAATTAGCATCATAATCATCATAATCTAGAGATCTGTGTTGCATCCCCAGTCCTGCTATAAGGAACTCAAACCTTATTTAACACACCACTCATCCAACAAGAAACTGATATACATGAGTATACTGATATACATAGCTCATACACATGAGCTATGAATGTAGGTATCATAAAGACTTTAATTTTCTTTCTTTTTGTATTTGTTTTAGGGCCACATCCAGTGATACCCGGGGCTTAATGCTGACTCTAAACCCAGTTCTTCTACTGACATTCCTGGTGAGGCTTCAGAAACACTATGGGGTTCCAGGTATTGAATTCAGGTCTACCACGTGCAAGACAAGTGCCCTAGCTGCTGTACTATCACTTGCACCCCAAAGAACCTTCATCATAAAAGAAAGGCCAACAGAAACCAAGAAGTTTCCTTGGATCTCTCTTTATTTTAAATACAAGAGGTATTGGAAGGCGGTACCTTCAGTGTGAGTAAGGAAGTAAGGAACCATATTGGTATTACACTTCAACAACTCGCAACTTCAAGGATGACTATTTTCTACCAATAGCAACAAAATCCTAAGGAGTTTCTGACCGCCCACGAATGGGCTGTGTGTGCAAGGAGAACACCACACGAGTGCGGCTCCTGCTGGACACAGGAGGTGCTATCCAGCCATGGGCTCTCAATGCTGGGACGGCATCTGCCGTGCCCGCTGACTGCCCTGCTCCTCTGGCTATGTTAGACTCTCCAAATGCAGTTTCTGTCTCAACATTAACACTTTGTACACACTTACCTGTGCTGTGGTTGCCAACACAAATAAACACTGGTGTTGAATAGATGATAAACATAAAATGTTATTTGATGCATACACACACCTGCATGTATATTAAAGATGCTTTCATTTCCCATAGCTATTTTAGAATTAATCCTCCTGACCTAGCCACCTGCCTCTCTGACAGCCTATTTTGTTACTATCCCTGTGAAAAGATGTGGCCCATTCGAGGAATTATACACTACATGTGCATCCGTAAGTAAACATGAGACAGAGTTCAGTAAAACCAGACATATCATAGATACAGCGATATTTCAATTTCCAAAAATTAGTATACAGTCAAATTGATTTAACACTGAATGAAATTCAATTTCTTCTTGTGACTTAGATAGTGATTTTTATCTGGGGGAAAAATCAGGATTATCATTATAGTTTAGACTCTTACCTTAAACACTACAATGATACACTTAGATTATTTTAGCATTTTTGGTTGCTTGAATTTTGACTATAATAAACATAGTAAACATGTTATATTTTTATGTATACTTTCATAGGTACTACTAGGTTTATCAATCTATCATTTTGGGGAATTTTGGTTTGTTTATTTTGGGTCATATTTAGAGGTGCTCAGAACTTACTCCTGGCTCTGTGGTCAGGACTTACTCCTGGTGGTGCTTAGGGAACCATATGGATGCCAGGGATTGAACCCAGGCCAGCCACATGCAAGGTAAGCACCTTACTCACTGTACTATTGCTATGACTTTCAATCTATCATTTTAATGTCTTTATTATAATATCTTAGCTATAAAATACATAATATAAAAATACATAAGTATGAGATCAGAAACTATTTAATCACTGGCACACCATATATTCCCCCAAACCTGCCAGGAGTGATCCCTGAGCAGAGAGTCAGGAGTAACACCCTAGAACCACCAGGTGTGTCCCCCAAACCAAAACTAAAATAAAATAATTTTTAAGAATGTATACAGTCCAAAGATGCTTACATCAACCAGACACACAAATCTAAAGCCTATTATTCTTTGGGTGTCTTGAACTTAAGTGTAGAAATCATCTCTAATCACCCAGACTAGATTTACACTCATATGTATGTCTATACAGTTTTGAATACGTGGCATGTACAAGAACAGATGTAGAACAAGACATCCAGATCTGTCTTTGCTTGGGCACACTGTGAATCTAACACACCAACTTCCTGAGCCCCCTTTATTCACTGCAAAATAAAGGGGTCAGCCTACATGGGCGCTTTGAAAAATTCAGTGAGCATCAGAATTTTTGGAGACGTTCGCTGAAAATATAGATTCTCCATGGCAATTACAGAGAGGGAATAAGGCCCAGGGACCTGCATTTCTCCTTCACTACCCAACTACTGCCATGGACAGTCTGGTCAAAAGCTGAGGAAGATGACTGATTTCCAGGTGATTGCTGGAGTCCCTCTAAGCTCTTGTCAAAATAAGTGCTTTCAGTGTGCAGGCTGCTTGCTGGGTGGAAAGCTCATCATCTGTCATATATTTTACTTTCGAGGTTCCCAAATCCAACATTTCAGTTCTTAGTCAATTTCCAAAAAATTTGCTGCATACAAATAACCTGAGTTTATTTTACTAGTGTCAAACCAGCACATTCATTATCCCCACTGAGAAGCATTTTATTAGGTCTGGAAGGAACTAAGGTTTTTAAGCTCCAAATCCAGGATATGTGTCATTGAAAGACTATAAGATGTTGAGAAAACACAAGTAGAGAACAGTCAGTGGCCTGGTGGAGAATTATTTCTGAAACATCACATTCCACTAACTTTAAGAAAGAAACACCCATTTTGTCAGTAAACTGCAAGCTTTTACATTTTCAGTGCCATACTAGCAAATCATGAATTTAAATGTCCAAAATAGTTTCCTACAAAGTTATATAATCTCTTATTTTACTTAATTATTATGAAGTTTTATGACGAAAAAATGTGTTTTCTTAATGATGGCTATTAGGAAACCACATTTTTGGGACAATGACAAAGCTGAACTCTTGTAAGTGACATAATAGGGAGAAAAATAGTGCTTTAAAGCAAAGACTAAACACCATTAATTGAAATGACTAATTAGAGCTTATTTACATATTATATTCTGATGTACTTTCACATAGAATTTGAATAATGTTTCTAAATTAAAGGGTATTTGGGGCAGGGAACACTCCACACGTTGGATCAAAGTAAATACATTCTTCCCCGCTTCTTTTTGAAACTTTTCAGAGTGTATTCAATTCATAGGAACAAAAACTATCTCACAAGAGAACACATTGGCCTTTTTTTTTTTATTATTGCTTCCCACCCCACTTCAAATCTTTAATGAACACACGGTCTGAAGAGGCTCAGCCTCTTCTCTAATACACTTTTGGGAACAAATGTCACCATTTAACCAAAATCCTATTTGCTGCATGTACAGTCCATTCCCCTAATGACCTTCCACTAAAGATATCTAGAAGAGGCTGTTGCTGGGCTTGGGGCAGAAATTTTGGCATAATTCTCCACGAGGCACAATCTTTCTCTAACAAGGGCACCCACTTAGCTCAGTTGGCTACTAAAGCTGAGATGTGGAGGAGGTGCCAACCACCTTTTCTCTATTTCATGGCTACCAGCTCAGCCCTTCTTTCCCTGAGCAACAATGGGAACTTCATTGGCATCCAGAGAAAAGGAACAAGAATTGTGGCGGAATTGAGCCAATTTTCTAACTAAAGAAGTCACACAATGCTTTCTTTTTTTTTTTCCCTTTATTTTATTT